ACCCCATAAAATGAGCCTCTATTTATTATCATTTCTAAAGTTGCTTCTGCTTTTAAAAACCTAGTTGTGAGAGGACATCCTATTTCATACAGTTCTCAGATTGACACTAGAGTTTATAAAAGAATATGGCCTGGCAAATCCTAAGGAAATAAAACTATAAGCCAAAAGAAGAAATAGCAGATGACTGGTCCACAGGTTAAGTTGTCAATCAAGATGCCTGTTAAAACACCTGCGTCCTACATTGGAGTAACCAGACTGCAGTCCCAGCTCTGGCTCCTGACTCCAGATTCCTGTTAATGCAGACCTGGAGAGGTGGCAGTGATGGCTTAAAAAGCTGGTCCCTGCCACCCGCATGGGGGATCCAGATTGAGATTCTGGCTTCTTGGCTTCCACCTGGCAAAGGACTGGTTGTTGTTGGCAATTCACAAGTGAATCAGCAGATTAGAGATCTTTCTGTTTGTCTCTCTCTGTTGTGTGTTTATCTCTCTCTCCCACACATTTCGCCTCACAAATAGATAAATAAAAATTTTAAAAAGAAGAAAAACAGACTATTTGAGAGTTCAACACCTAAATGGAAGTTGCTTTTGCTAATTGGACACATCCAAGTTGATGAGATGTTTGTATTGTGTGTGCATGTGTATACTTATGTGTATGTGACATGGATTTTACTTGATTAATATATCCCCTCTGTGTAGTATAACTTCAATGAATTTTATTGCAAACATGCAATTACATCATTAGCATTGAGAGGGCAGAAATTTCCAGTGCCTTAATCAGATAGGGCACATTTACACATACAGCAATAAACCCTGGCATCAGTAGAGTAAACCCAATATCAAATGAGACAACATCCAGAAAGTCTGAAGGCAATAAAATTAACATCATTTGCATCAAATCTGAAGAGATTAATTATTCTTACTTAGATCCATACTTGCCAGCCAGAAACAATAAGTATTTAAGTGTTATTTAAAAGAATGGCTGGCTGAACTAAAGTAGTCAGAAGTGCAAGGAAGAAGCTGTAATATTGACTCCCAACACAAAATCTTTCCAAATGTCCTTTTTAACCTACAAAATGAATATTGCACAACTTCATGGAGGGGCTGGAGTTGTGGTGTATGCAATGGGTTAAGCTGCTGCCTGCGATGCTGCCATCCCATATGGGCACCGATTCAAGTTCTAACTGCTCCACTTCAAATCCAGCTCCCTGCTAATATGCCTGGGAAAGCAGCTGCAGATGGCCCATGTCCTTGGGTCTTTGCACCCATGTGGGAGTCCCTGATGAAGCTCCTAGCTCCTGGCTTCAGCCTGGTCCAATCCTGGCCATTGTGGCCATTTGGGAAGTGAATCAATGAGTGGAAGATCTCCCCTTCTCTGTCTCTTCCTCTCTCTTTTTTAAAAGTTCATGGAAATGTGCATTAAGATATCCACTAAGCATGTATTTAAAAGTACTTTTTCACATAAATAAACATCTTTTAATTGCATTTTCCCATGATGTTTTTGAAGTACTGTTATTTACTGAAAAGATGCATATATTTTCTGGTTCCATCTTTTGTCACTAAAATAGTTTTACATTATCTGTTTAAACCTTTTTATTTTGAAACTATGAGATTCACAAGAAGTTGCAAGCTTCAAATTTATTTGGTGAAGCATTAAGCCTTTTAACTGTAATACAACTTTAAAATATATTATCCCTAAAACTAAAAGAGAAAAAAAAGATAGAAGAAAGGAGAGTTTGAGGGAGAAGTTGGGGGGGGGGGAGGAAGGGATATCATCATGTGTTTAGAATTATATCTACAATCCATATTGAATCTGTTAAAAAGTAAAATTTTTTAAAATAATAAGTATAAAAGAATCAGCCAGCATTTTTTCAGAGATGTCCTCTTTGCTTATCACCCAGTAGCCTCCCGACAGTGGCATGCATAGCTAAAGTGCATTATCAAACCACGAAATTGATTGGCACTGCACAATTAACCAGTCTACAGCTGTTACTTGGCTTGTACCGGTTTTCCACACACTCATATTTTTGTGTATCTTTTTACAATATTTTTATTGTCAGAGATGGCACACCAACCTCTCCAGTTACTCTGCTAATCTGAAACCCTAACATTTAAAAATCATCTTTTCATTTTCATACCATGAATAATCAGCATCTGCCATGGACTTAGAAGGAACCTCTAGGCTTAGAATCAGCTATTTGGGAGGCAATATCTAATATTGGGCTTACCAAAATAGATTCCTAAAATATTCTAACTATCTGCTATATGTGGTGAAGTACTCAAGTGGTGAATTAAATCCCATTTCACATTAGGAACCGTTAAGATAGCCATTGACTTAGGAGATGTTTATTGAACAGCTTGTTCTGAGCAAGCACCACTCTAAACAATATAAGGGATAAAAATATGCATAAAAGCAGTTCCCTAGCCATCAGGGGACTTGCTTAATATGGCAGGGGATACACTGCTATGGAAAAACAAATAAAATAAACTGCAGAGATTGGGAAGCAGCCTGGATGAGAGAGAGGCACAAGAGAGGCTCTTATTTGTGGCGTGCTTGCATGTTATAGCTTCCCCAGGCACCTCCAGGAAGTTTGAAATCGGTCATCTAGTTTAGTATTTCTGCCTATCACTCTCTGGCCTTCGGTCTTTGGGCTGTAATCCCATACGTGTGAATTGGATCAGAGTGACTTAGAAACCTAGTCTAGCATGTTTATTTCATAGGTGAACATCCCTTTCAAGAATACTGAACATCAGAATGAGAAAATAAATGCTGCCTTAATGAATGTCTGTTCCTTTTTCTCATTTGGTTGGATAGTGCATTGGTTGGCTCATTTGTTTTCTTCTATTCTCGTGAAATAGTTGTAGTTTTGTCAACAGTTGAGTTGACCCTTTATGGGGGAATACAACCTTTGCATTTATCTCTCTTCACTCCAAGATCCAGCCTTGACTTGGGGAGACTGACGGGTGTGGAAGCCTAAAACTTATTAAATAATAAGAGTAACACTCCATGAGACAAGGGAGACAAATGAAAAGTAACACCCTTTATGGGACTCTCAACTGCCTCTTAAAATTTCACCTGGCTCGAGAGCTTTGTTTATTCTAAAAAATACTGGATTCCTTAGTTTCAAATCTAAAAACAAATGCTGAGTTAAGTTGCAGCTTAGCACAGTGGATAAGTAGGTATCTGGACTGTGGAGTAAGATTGCTTCCATTATGAGCTTGTTTTCCCCAAGAGGTGCTAAGCAAGTTACCTAACTTCTCTGAGCCTAAGGTTCTTATCTGCAAAATAGGACAAACAATATGACGATGCATATCTTAAAGTACACTTGGTGTCATAAGGAATAAATCTCAAACTGTCAGTGGCTTATACAAATAGAACAATATGTCTTATTGTTCTTATGGCTAACAGAAGATGGTAGCCCAAAAATTCCATGAAATTGCATATTATTAAAAACTTTGCAAAAATTTTTCATATTTTTTGCAGCAAAATAAAGTTACCTTTAATTCCATTTTCCACAAACTTTTTGAAGTGCTCTCATATGTCCCAAGTTGGATGCTTTTCCTCCAAGGAGCCCCCTTTCTTTCTTGTGGTCCCTTTATCTTTAGGATGTAGATCCCAGAGACATCGTTGTGTGTGTGTGTATGTGTGTGTGTGTGTGTTGGAGAAGGGTTTGGGGAACAGTGTGGATTACAGCCAGACAGATGTAGAAAAGAGCTTAAGGAGTGTTCATGGGAGGTGTACATGGACCTGCAGCAGAAAAGGACAAAGCCACACCTGCCCATATGACATGGGTCTAAGTCAGTCACAAAGTCATGGGTGACTGGCTGCATTGTAGGCTGTGCTGTCTGGTCAGATGAAAGAAAACTGGATTCTGGTGCACACTCCCTCGGCTCTGCCAGATTTATACAACTCCAGCACCATTGTGAGCACTAACGGCTTAATGCATGTTAAAATTAGAATCCTGCCTTACACCATGAACCATTTTTCATATTGTTTATTACCACTTTTTCATAATGTCAATCACTCACCATGTCTTCCTAATTGATGCTAAATGTTAGGCTTCTAAAAAGAAGCAGGCAGATCAGGCTGTGCTCAGTTACTACTGAGGAGGACAAACTACCAACAATATCATTAGAAATACACTTAGCAAGATTCTCCTTTGCCTCTAGGGGTTTCCAGAAGACCAATGGACCCAGATCAATTCAAACTTGATGTATTTAAATATTTATATGAAAAACTACAATAAAGTGAACCCTTCAATGCAACAAAATGGAACCTCCATTGCTCTTGTTTTCTCTGCTCTCACCTAAATTATCCCCCCTAATTCATAGCATTTAAATTCAGTACAGCATTCACTGGCCTTTGTCAGAGGAACCTTGTGATTTAGGGTGTATCTTTTTTCTCCTCTAACATTTTAGTAATTCTCGTGGTATTATTTGATTCTTTCATCTCTGCATCCTGAGTCTACAGTTTTGTGGGCAGAGATAATATAACTTTTACAACTACAAATACCCAATGCATTGTGGTTCATGTTGTATATGTTCTATAAGTGCTTAATGATTTGCTTATCTGTATCTATGTTACACCAAGATAAAGGACAAATTTGGTAGCTTGTGGAACTTGGAAAAGTTACCTACATTTTCTGAACCTCCATCTCCTCATCTGTAATGAGGGTAGTGGTAGTACCTTCCTGTGAGATGTAGGGTTGATATAAATTGAGATAACAAACTTAGCAGGTGTTAATACTGACTGCTGTAATACTACCATTATTAGTATTCATGGTAACAGAATAAAATTGTAATAGGTGAGGCTCTGGAGATAAATAGGAAGTATGACCAATGAGAATTCATAGGAGGAAGAGAGTTCAAGGTTGGAATTACATAGTTCAAGAATGCCTGAATCACCTGGAATATTAATAAAAAGAATGTCGTCCAACAGAATGAGGCAGACTGTTACCTTGCATATTTCCAGAGGGCTTACATATTTAAGATTCTATATTCTGTTCCAGCACATTGGGCCAGCTACCGGGAGATGTTAAGAGACTTGATCATGATTCATCGTCATTGCCCCAGAGATGGATGCAGAAGAAATACTTCTCCCCTAATCTGCCTCTCCAGAGTCCCACGGAAAAACAACAGCAGAGTCTCTCTCAGAGCTAATGTTTGGCAGAGGCAGTGACTTCTCCTCGGTGTTATCTAGGGATAATCCATCCACATGGTTGTTATGTAAGTAAATTGACTAAGAATTCAGTTCTCTGTCTTCCTGACCTGTTTCCAGGGACAACTCACAGCATGAGTGCCCATTAGGAGTCTTTGAGTAGCACTGAGTTGGCAGAAAGCATTAAAACCAGCAGAAGAGTCCTTGGCCGACTGGGGGGAGGCAAAAAGATGAGCAAAGCCTTCACTCTAAAGCTCAAGTCTCCTTAAGCTTCCACAATAGTGACAGTCCTGGGAAGAACCATGTATTTCTCAGAGACAGTCAGAATAAAACATGACCAAGCCCTCCTGTTTCTCTGCTGCTCCGTTCCCCTTCACACAATTTTTGACCTTGGAATGCTTGGCAAAAGTATTGCAAACAAGGTCAGAACAGAAATAAAGTGGCTCAGCCAGCTATTTCTCCTTGTTGAAAGGGCATGTTTGGGATAGAAGGTGGCTACTTAAGTACTATGGCATTCAAGTATCTTCTAGTCACATGTACTTTTTGGCTAATATTGGTAAATAAATGAAGACATAAAAAGTCAAATAAAAGTAACTGAGAAGAAATAAAATGAAGATGGTGTGGCTCACTTACATAGGTGGTTCTATGGTTCTCTGGAAATACTGAGTTTAGTTTCTATTTCAATCATACAGCTAACGTTAGAAGACAGAAGTCTACGCAAACGTATTGCAGGAATTCAGAGGGACCTGCCAAGCGCCGAGGATTTGCCTCCTGCTTCCTTGTGAAAGGGCACCTGGCTCCCCCTGAGCCTAATCGTGCAGGTTAAAAGGAGTTGGCGAAGGGCATCCTAAAGTGATGAGGGGAAATGCTAGCTAAGGGCTGGCTACTTTCCATTCTCTTCAGGGGGAACCCCTCCATGCCAAACTCTGAAAGGTCTGGAAGACCCGGAAACGGATCTCCCCAGAAATCTAGCCTGGAGGGGAAGCAAGGTTCAGTGTTCATCCCTCCTGGTCTCTCTTTTCTGTCTGTGCATCAGCCAGCCAGGCACAGGAGTTGTGCTTCATGCTGCACAGTACCCTGACTTATGTACAATTTCAGTCTGCCCTTTCTCCAACCCTCATCAAAATTGCCCCAGGGTATTGTGAAAGCAGCATGTCATGTTATGATGTAAATCATTAACATCTCTTCACAGAGTTCCATTTTAATCTGGTTTCAACCAAGAATAATTGTCCAAGCAGTGTTTTTTGAAGAAGTGTGGGGGGGGGATGAAGAAAAGGCTATTCTATGGGTTTGTTCTGGGGATGTTGTTGAACCAAGTACTCTTCTTAATGACACCCATTCTCTCGCCTTCTATTTATCTGCTTTATAGCTTAGCAAGTGGACAATGCAGCACAGATGAGAGAGATAGTAGAATTTGTCCTTATATGAAAAAATTCTGATCTCAACTTCTAGGATGAAACTTAAATATATGACATCTCCAGGGTCCAATGATAGCAACTACAACTGATTCCAAGCCCTTTATTTTACATTAGCGAAAAGTGAGACCCAGGCAGCCAACATCTAATGAAAGAAATGGCAAAGGACCCATAGCTAAGCCCAGATCGCCTCACTGGCTCGTGTGTGCTCCTCCTGTCCAACCAGGATGTAGAAGCACTCATCTAATCCTATAGGAGAAAGAAAGTAACATTACAGGGATCATTCTTGAGCTGGGAAAGCCGGAGTTTGCAATCCATGTGTGCCATTGAACAAATTTCGAGTCCTTGCTACTCAAAAGATGGTTGAGAGACCAGAAGCATCAGCCTCACCTGGAGGTGAGCCCTGCACCCCATGGGAGATCAGGATAAGTACCTGGCTCCTGCCATTGGATCAGCACGGTGCGCCAGCCACAGTGCGCCAGCCACGGTGGCCATTGGAGGGTGAACCAACGGCAAAGGAAGACCTTTCTCTCTGTCTCTCTCTCTCTCACTGTCCACTCTGTCTGTCAAAAAAAAAAAAAAATACAAGCCCCTACCTACATCTGTGTCTGCAGGCGAATGGCACACATGCTGACATGGGAGAAACTCAACCTGACATCAGTGATTCCTGACCACGGATGCTTAGAAGAATCACACGTGGGACACGTTAAAAATACTGATGCCCAAGACTCATCCCCAGAGCACAGTGATATCTGAACATCAACTGCAGCTCATTTTAAGAGCTTCTCAGATGATGTTGAGCCTATACCTGGAACGGAGGCACCAGTGGGCACTGACCGAATACCAGCCCTCCCTTCCAAGAGGTTCTTTTAAAAATTACAGGAGATAGTGTTTATCAGGCACTTGGGACACACCCAACACAGACCATGTGCTCAGAAATGTAATGCATTTCTCTGCCTTCTCTTCTTTTTCTTCCTTCACCTACCTGTGCCATGTCATGTAATGTATAAGTTAAAGCCAGTTCTCCGTCACATTTTTGCTATTTATTTATTCTGTGTTTTTTGAATCTTTTTAATAAATAAAATGTAATGAGTTCCTAGGAAGTGATGAGTGCTGCTCTCTGTGATTGTGAAACAATTTCGCCATCATGTACCATCAAGCTGATGACAACAAGGACTATTTCTGTCTACTTCACACCCAGCTCCAAGTCCAGTGACTGTTTTCTGGTAGGAAGCAAGACAAATAAATGCTGAGAGATGATCACCCGGACACATAACCAAATAAATTTAAAAAAATCTATATAAATATATTGTAACCAACTTCTTGGAGTTGGGGCCAAAACCAAACCTTTTCTTTTTACATCTACCATAGAGAAGTAGTTTAATGATGTCTTCCTGGTTGAATGTCTAGATTTTGCAATCTTACGCCATCTCTTGAAAGCAGTGATAGATAATGAGATTGTTTCTCAATATACAATTTTTATAATAAATAGTGTTCAAAGCATTTGTGTGAGGAAAAAGAAAGCAGCAACAAGAACCAGAGGCCAAGCCATCTGTGTTCCGACACCGGGCCCGCTCAGACCTGTAGTTCTGCAATGCTTGGTGTGGACAGAAAGAGGCAAAGGTAGCGAAGAAGTGTTCAGGGAGATGAGGCCTAAAAGACTCGTATGTTAATATCTCTGTGCCTTTGTCTGCTTAGAAGATTATTACTTACGGTGTCTAATTGCTCCATTTTGGGATCTATTCGTAAATACACATCATAAGAACGTTTTCAAAAGATCTGTCACAGGACTGCCTCCACTTTTTTGTGCTTTTAAATGTAAAAGCCCCCAAAAGAATTGGCAGCAACTCAAAATAATGATTATGTAAATGAAAAAAAAAAAAACTCCTGCTTTTAAACCAAAGAAAGGCAAAGCTATTTAGAGCAGGGACCCCCCCTCTCACCCTCCCCACGAAGGAGGAACCCAAGCCCTCCTCCTTCCTGAGCGCCCTGGGTTCCAAATTCTAGCGGGGATTCTTGGCAGGGCACCGCAACTGCAGACCAGCAGTGTGGCCAGGCTGTGCGCTCACGCTTTATCAAAACACTCCAACCATCCTCCCTTCCCGGGCACCTGTGGCCGGCCTCGGAACGTCTGCTCCCTGTTTCATGGTTGAATATAAATTCAGGTTGGAAGAGGGGGTGGGGGTGGGGGTGGGAGGAAGCCCTCTAGGTATTACAATAAATACACACACACAGAGGACGAAAAAACATTTCTATCTCCATTGAGCTTAACAATCAGCAGGGCCCAAATTACCTCTTATTAACATTTATTTTACAAAAGAGGCAGGGTGTAATTTGGTGATAGATTCAGATTTGGAGAGGAGCTATAATCAGCCTCCTGAAGTGTTCTGCCTAAAGGACACGGCTGCTATTTTTTGTAATTATATTTCTCTGCCCCCCTCCCTCCCCAGTCTGCAGAGTCTTTCACTCCTGTCTCTGGTGCTTCCAGGGCTCCCTCCCCCTGCCTCCCCCTTCTCTTTCTCCTCCCCAGCCCAGCCCCCTTCTCTCCCTTTCTCTCTTTAGGCCTCTGTGAATAATACAGTTTCTTTCAACAGCCCAGGCTGGCTTGAAGATTAGAAAGCCTGGTGGTGGAGACGGGCCCGGCTGAATGGAGCAGGAGGCCCACTCCTCCGGCGAACAAGGCCCTGGGAAGCCATCCAACTGTGGAGAGCATGTGCGGGGCCCTGAATAGGCAAGCAGCAGGCCGGCCCATATGTCAGCCTGTGCCACAAAGACTCCTCTGCATATCTACCATGACAAACAGGATTACCGAAGACAATTAATCTGGCACGCTTTATCAAAATCAAGCACTGACCCCCGACCTCTCCCCCTCGGTGTGCGGCAGATGCCACGCTCCGATTCAATAGGCCTCGAGTGTTCCCTTTTTCTCATCTGAAAAGCATCCAAGGCCTGAATAAGGCTGGTCTGGACTAATTGCAAGGACCGTGTGACGGCGACAGTCGGCATCAATAGGACGAGTCCACCTTTTCCCCCACTCGCGCGGAGGGGCTGCCCATAGCTCCTGGCCTGCAGCAGAAAAGGAGAGAAATGCTTCCATTTTCCTCTTATTCTTCTTGTCTGCAGCCTGAGGGGTGGGAGAGGGGACAGGATGAGGGAGGTGCTGTTGTGTGTGTGCCCCTTGATACTGGGGTGCCCAGTGCTCATGGGAGAGGATCTACCTGCAGCTCAGAGCGTAATGGTTGTCATAAATTAGTGAATTCTTAGGGGAGAGAACAGAGCGCCAAAGCCTTTGGAGGTGACAAAATCTCAAACCATGACTCTGCCTTCTCCATGAACATCCATCCAGTTTATCCAGTTTGTACATCTGCACCTTTTGTGTGCTCCTGATAACAACAACCCTGGAGCTGTGTCTTTCAGGAATCTTCACAACACTGCCCGATTATTCAAAAAGGAGTCCTTTGTAGGAAGGACACCTTTGTAATCTTTCTGGAAGTTTTGAAGACCTGGGAGACCTCTGGCCATACCTCTTCCTCCCAGAGGAGGCTGTGGGTGAATGTGCCGGTCAGAGTCAGAGGTGAGAGTTGTTGCTATTCTTCGCAGTTCTCCCTCACCCACACACAAGGCTGAACACGCTTGGTGCAGGAGTAGGAGCAAGGACAGTAGATAACTCTGATATCAGTTGGTCCAATTTGGGCCACCTGTTGGTTAGACTACGACCAGTTTCTCAGTTAAGTTTAGAAACTACTGCACCTAAAGTCATGCAGTGCTTCTGAAAACCTACGCTCAGGCCACCTGGAGAACTCATTAGAAACAGAGATGGCTGGGCCCCACTGAGACAGACGGCCTCTGTCTTCGTGTGAGCTTGTGCCTACCTATTACATTTCCTTCTTGTTTCGGTTTAAAGCAAATTTTATTTTTTTACAGTTGAGGTACTTATGAATTTATTTATATGAAAGGCAGGGGTGGGAGAGAAAGAGAGATTTCTCATCTGCTGATCTACTCCCGAAATTCACACCACAGGGAAGGCTGGGCCAGAGTGAAGCCAGGAGATGGGAACTCAAAGCAGGGGCCCCACACAAGGGGACCCAACTACTTGAACAATCACTTGTTGCTTCTCAGGTTGTGCATTAAAAAGAAACTGGAATCAGGAGCTGGAGCCAACTACCAAACTCTGGCACTCCAGTGTGCAATACAGGTGTCACGAGTGACATCTAAAACCCAGAATCAAATGCCCATCCTTCCTCAATAATTCTTACCATTGAGAAGTTATGTTACCAGTGAGAGAGGAGTGCATTATTCTAGGTTTATTTCTTAATCAACTAGCTCTTGATTGCTTCATCACTAACTGTGGCATCTGATCCAGCTCCCCCTCTAACTGTAAAATATCTTGTTTCTCTCAGTTTGATTGATGGAGTGTCCATGCCTTCCTGGCAAATAATGTCTTCTCTGCCTCCCTTCCTGTTGTATGCTGTAGGTGTTCAGAAGGTACTGGAGCTCTGGCTTCTGATTCTCTCTGAAGGAGCAACTGCTGTGTGATTTTCTTTCTGGGTCAGTTAATAAAATGGGGTGGAAACAATCAAAGTTCAATTATTTGGAGAAGGCAGAGATTTGGTATAGAGTATATAAACAAAGTCAGAGCCTTGGAGAGTTTTGCTTGTATTCACTAGACCTGAAGAAATTGAAGATGATAAACATTCCAACAAAAGGCATGGGAGTCTGGATATCAAAGTGGGCGGGAACATGGTACTCACCTGAATTGTTGTGACATTAGGCCCGTCTGAGATGCCCTAAGTCAGGGTCACTGTCTTTGTAGGTTCCTGACTCGGGGGGCATTAACTCTTGGAAAGTACAAGGGCTGAACCCTCAAGAAACTCCCTGTGTCATTTCAATCAAGCCTGGGTGGGGACTGCTCTCTGCATGGGGATCCACTACAGAGCTCCTTGCATTTAGAAAGCAATTTTCCTTGAACACAGAATTCTCCCCTAAAAAATGAGAATCGGGGTTGTTCATTCATATAAGAAATTGGTTGCTATTAAATTATTAATGAGTTCAGGGATTTGCATTCTCCAAGATGGGAAAGATCATCTCCAAGCAATGTTAAGACACTTATATGTAAAACACTTAAAAGATAGAGAAGAATATCTAAAACATCATGTATAAAGGAGGTAAAATAATTAAGCACATTAAGAATGTTATTTTTTTTATACTAGCAGTAAAAACCAGGGGCTTAAGTGATATTTTTCTATAGGCTTTAACTTAGAAGGAAATAACATATATGAGTATTTCTGTCTGTTTCTTTTATCCTACAAGACATGAACCAGAGTTTTAGATACAAAAGAAGATTTGAGTATAATCATGGGTGTATGAGGCATAGGTTTCTTAGGCAATAAAAATTCATTGAGTAAATACTTAACTAGAGAGTTTTGGCCTCTAGAACTGCTTTCCATTCTGGCTTCCCAGCTTTACTAAATAATCTTGGTATTTTAACATCAGAAGACCCACTCACCCAGACATAAATGTACACACATGGATGGGGTGGTCAGGGGCTAGTTATTAAAATGATCCTGAACAAAGCTAATTTTCAGGACTGTGGAAGTGAGATAAAATGAAGCCCTGCCTTCACTTGGTAGGCAAAAGACAGAGGAGGGGGTTCAGGCTGGCCGGTGTCAGATCTAAGGAATCAATCCATGGTGTCATGATTACTGTAGGACTCTTTTCCTGGAGGGGACAATAGCTATGCTGATAAGCAAGAAGCCATTGTCCTTGGTAAACCAGCTGCTGCAGGCCAGCTTGCTGGGTCAGGCACACACTCGCCCTTCAGTATTGCCTGGGTGCTTGGAACATAGTGCAGGTGCAACTGATCTCTCCTCACTTGCAAATCTGCAATCCTTCCTGTGCTCACATTTCATGTGAGCATCTCAGAAAATTCACCTTGCCCTTGGCACATCCAGAAACCCTTGGAGTAACCCACCGCTAGGTGCTAGGTAAACAATGGAAAAATTATCCCTGCCCCAGCCCCTTTTTCTCCCTTCTCCCGAATCTCTAAATAGTTAAAACACCTCCCTGAACACAGAGATGAACACTGCTTAAATAGTTTACTGTCAGAAATATTGAGTACGTTTTAGTAGGATGGGCTTTGCAAGCACTGCAGTACAAAAGCTGAGGCCATCAAGGTTTTTGGGCAGGTTTTTCGGGCAGGTTTTTCATTTAACTTGTCATATTATATATTGCAGATGTGCAATTCTGGATCAGTGTACATCAGCTTCCAGGACAGGGGAAGCTGCAGAGTGGGTTGCATGGGCAGCACATGGGCTAAACAGAAGGTGGCAGCATTTCAACATTGTCAGGGACAGGTGCACGCAGCACGCACTCCAGAGCCATTGCCATGACTATTGGGGTATTGTCTAGATTCCTAATGAAGAGTTTACATCTTCCTACCACGGCAGCAAGAAGTAGAAGCACAGAGTGATGAGAGATTTATTCATATAGGAGAACACGGGACAATTTGCTGCTCCGTTGGCAAAATGCACTGCAAATAGAAGCAGAAGTGGGGAGCCCAGGTCTGCAATCATAAAGCAATGTCAAGCAAGGAGAAATGTTGATCAGTACATATTGTAGGTATGTATTGAAATGTGGCCTACAAATATATACACACATTATTAATCAATTTTTAAAATAGACTGCAAGTAGGACACAAAGAGTTGTGCTGGAACATCTATGAACTATTAGAAAGTTTTCCTTTATTGGCATTAAAGGTAAGAATGTATCAAAATCATGCCTAGAATGGAATAAGCAAATTTAGTCTTTTCTGCTTCCTTCCCAAAGAACTTCATGGAACTAATTAACAACTGGGAAAACTGTGGTCTGTCAGAAAATGGTGGTCTATTATGAGCTGTTTCTGAACAGGCTGTGATCCTTAGGGTTATGTGTTAGTGTTGAAATTCTAGATTAATTCTAAGCTCCATCCATTACAGGACAGCTAGCAGAAATCTCTGAGCTTCAATTTCTTCATTTGTAAACCAAAATAACTTAGTTAGCTTATCTATCAGATAACTGATAGTGTTGTGATAGTTTATGGGATGATGTATGTAAATTGGAGTGCCTGGTTCTTAATAGATACTCAATAAACCTTTTATTTATGATCATTATCATTAATATGATTATTTATTTTACTATATTCAAACATTTACATACATTATATGACTTGTCTTACAACAATTCTGAGAAGTAAACAGGAAAGAAATCTTTATTTCACTTTATAATCAGGCCTAGTTCATGGTGCATGTGGTTAAGGGACATTCAATAGGTTTATGCCCCAAGAAAGAATATGATATTTTGCAAGCCAAGTTTCTTCTCTGGAACAATGTTTCTCATAAATTAAATAAAAATATTGAATCGGAGATGAGGAATTTGTAACTCCATCATTTGGTTTAACTAACTGCATAATAAGCAGAGAGCAAGTGGGAAATTAATTGCATTTTAATCTTAATGGTAATTTGCTACAAATCAAGACAATACCTGTTTGTTATGGTCACACAGAGCTTTTATGCCTTACAAAGAATTAGAAACAACATATGGGAACACAGGGCTCTTATGAAACCCAACCAATAAACTCAAAGTATAAGCTCTTTGCGAAAGAAATACTGCTTTGTTTAATACATTGCCAGGCACTTGACTGTATTTTGTAGGCATCTAGAGTCCCCATCCATTAGCTCCTTATCTGGAGAGGGCTTCTGAAATTAATCTGACCTAAATTTGCTATACATATTCTGGAATGAGTGCAATTATCAATAACACTATTTAAAGGAATGACCTTCAAATGAGAACAAGAAAACATTAGTGAGAGCCATTCAGCCAACAGCGTCTGCTGAGAAGTGGGGTGTTTTATTTATGACTATTGTTTTGATAAAACATCTGAAATTTCACTATTGTTTCATGTGAACAACTGCCACAGTTAGGATTTTTTTTTTCACAACATCATTTTGTACCATTATAGCACATAGGAGAAATCCTGCTTCATGCATGACCTCAGCTATCATTAAGATCATTGTCAAAGTTTCATTCCATCACCCAAGATGTGTTTTAATTGCCACATCTAATGCAAGGCTGTAGCTGTATTTTATAGCTTTAAATTAAACCTTTTGTTATAATGGCAAGATCTGCCAGAGTTTTAATAATTTAGATGTGAAAAAAATAATCTGTCATTCTAAGACTGTCAAAATAGGAGATAGCAACATAGGTTTTAAAGCCCTTCTCTCTCATCAACTCTCCTATTCATGACAAACATCTGAGCTGCCTGCCTTCTACTCCTGACAATTGACTTGATATTGAACTGGTATATGTCCCAAGATTTCTACAAATCTTCAAATTTATAAGCATTCTTATAACAGAATATCACAAGCTGTACAAGAAATTGATGATGACTAATGTGGTAGAGACATTTACTCTATATTGGATAACAGTGTGTGCCCTCTACAATTTTCCACACCTTAAAGTTATCCTGGAGGGTGTGAACGTATTATCTGGCCAATGGACTAGTATTGGAAAGGACATATCTCTCTGAAGGGTTGGACCACCAAAACACTACACTGAAACCCTCCTACATTCTCTTTTACAGTCAGGGAAAAATAGCATAGATTTATGAATAACTGAAAATAAATTTCATATAGAACCTCTGATCCACAAAAATAACAATTTTGCTTGTTGCTGCTTCAAATTTAGTCTAACCAAAATGATACATTTGGACATTAAATCTCAACTCTCTGTGTCTTTGGTGAACTACACAATGAAAGACCATTTTCTATCACACTCCAATTCCATTACATGTGGCTGGTTTAGGTCATACGGAGAATTGTTGCTTTAAACTGAGAAAAAAGAGACCACCACAAGAAGAAGATAATTGTCACTCAACAAAGCTTTTTCACTATAAAATAAACTTTTACATCAGCCAACTAGTACCCACATATTCAAAAATTTTATTCTGAATCTTTCCAAATCTATTTCCTAGATTACCACTAATGCCTATTTGCACTTAGACCACGCCTCATCCTGCTTTTGAATTTTAACTCAGATGTAACTTACTATTAAAAAACAAATGCATGAGATTATCTGTTCTTTAATTTTTCCCATCAGTCAGGATCTGATCAGTTGACTATCTATTTAACAGAAATAACTCAATGCTAGTATTTTTAACAGGGGTGGGTGTTAGGTACAACAGTTAAGACACCATTTGGCTTTCCTGCCTCCAATATGAAGGTGTCAGAGTTCAAGCCCAAGCTCCACTCTTGATTCCAGCTTCCTGCTAACGTGCACTTTAAAACCAGCAGAGTGGCCGGCACCGCGGCTCACTAGGCTAATCCTCCGCCTAGCGGCGCCGGCACACCGGGTTCTAGTCCCGGTCGGGGCGCCGGATTCTGTCCCGGTTGCCCCTCTTCCAGGCCAGCTCTCTGCTGTGGCCCGGGAGTGCAGTGGAGGATGGCCCAGGTGCTTGGGCCCTGCACCCCATGGGAGACCAGGAAAAGCACCTGGCTCCTGGCTCCTGCCATTGGATCAGCGCGGTGCGCCGGCCGCAGTGCGCTGGCCGCGGCGGCCATTGGAGGGTGAACCAACGGCAAAAGGAAGACCTTTCTCTCTGTCTCTCTCTCTCACTGTCCACTCTGCCTGTAAAAAAAAAAAAAAAAAAAAAGCAGAGTTATCTGTAACCTCATTGTAACCTCATGTTTACTGCAGCGCAATTCATAATAGCTAAGATATGGAATCAACCCAAATGTCCATTAACTGATAGCTGATAAAGAAATCATGAGATACTACTTAGCCATAAAAAGAATTAAATCCTATCTTTTGCAACAAAATGGATACAGCTGGAAATCATTATACTTTGTGAAATAAGCCAGTCACAAAAAGACAAACACCATGTTTTCTCTGATCTGTGGTAACAAATAGAATACCAAAATTATAATATATAGGAGTGAAATTCATGTTTTGAGATTTGATGATTGTTTACAACTCTTGTCTCTATTATTGAGGGACAGTATTTTGTTTTCTTACTATTTGTTGAACTGTTCATTTAGTGAAGTGTTACTCTTGTCAATATAAAGTAAACAGAAAGTAGGCCATTGTAAAAATTAAGAGATGGAATTAGAGGAAGGAGAAGGAAGGATAGGAGCATGGGCTGGAGGGAGGCCAGGGTGGGAAGTATCACCATGTTTCTAAATCTGTATTTCTGAAATACATGAAATTTGTTTACCTTGAATTAAAAAAATGAAAAAATAAGAGGTACTAGTTGATTACTCAAGTACTTAGGTCCCTGCTACTCACATGGGAAACCTGAATTGAGTTCCTGGCTCCTGGCTTCGGTATGACCCATCATTTACTGATGCAAGCACTAGTGGAGTGAACCAGTAGATGGACATTCTCTCTCTCTCTCTCTTTGTGTGTGTGTGTGTCCCCCCCTCCCTGTCTTCTCTTCCCCACTTTCAAAATAAATAAATAAATAAACAAATAAATAAAATTGTTGTGACTAGTTTACTAAAAATTTCAAGTCACTGCACTAAAACATGCCACATAATAATTAGAAATATATGTATATAATCATGCTAGCATTTACACAAATACTAGTTTTTGAAATTTTCTTTTTACCATGCCTATATAAAGTAAACAGATCATGTATTTCATATATACAGATTTAATAACATAATGATACTTTCCATTTCCCCTCCCTCCCTCTCTTGTCCCCACCCCCTCCTTCCTTTCTTATTTTTCTTTTAATTTGTGTGATGACATAATTTCAATTTACTTTATAATAACAAGCCTTTCCCTCCACTAAATAAAGAATTCAGCAAGTAGTAAGTAGAAAAACCACTGTACCTCAGGAGTATAGACAAGGGCTATAAACAATAATCAAAGATTATTAACAGGATATAAAGTGTCTTACTAGAAACCCAAAAGGCAAGAAGAGTATTAGGAACAGAGGTGGTATTGCCGGGAGTAGCCTCCACCCCTAGGGTTAGGGAATACAAGATAGAGGCTGGAATTATCAACATGTGCTTGTGGAAGCCTAGAGCAGAAGCAGCTCATGGAGCAGAAACTCAGACTTCAAAGGAGGAGTTGAAGATGGCTCGGAGCTCAGAGGCAGAGTCCAATAAGGCTTGACTCCAGACTCCCCATTGAGGAGCAATTGGTTCTGCTGTATGATGAGGGTGGATGCTACAAGGCTGCAAGTCGTGGGAACTGTGAAGTCTTGATTCAGATGCTGTGAGTGAAGTAACTGCTGTTGATGAGTGAGCAAGCATAGCTGGGCAAACACTCACAGGAACAAAACATGGATGGTAAGGAAGAATAGAGCCCGCAGGAAATGAACATCACAGAGCAAGCCCCTTCTTCCCACGACTGTGTAGACCTTTCTAGCTCTTGCTGCTGACAAAGTCTGACAGGGGACCAGATGGTCAAGAGGAAACAAGATTTCTGCATCCCACACTCATTATCAGAAAACAGAATACGGAGTGGCAGGATATATGACTGAGAAACCACACTAATATTTGACAGTTGTTTTCCTTTAGAATTCATTTCCTGGTTTATCTTGGTTGTAACAGTCCTTTAGTAGTTGAAACAAAAAAAAAAAGAGAGAGAGAGAGAAATGATTCTAATAATTATGTTTTCTCTCTCACCTATGGACTCACTACATTTAGGCTTGGCTCAATACTATAGTGTATCCCAATTGTATTTGTAGTAGAAATAATACAAATACCAGAAATAATAAATCCTGACCTAGAGTTTAGAAATCCTTGGTCCCAATCCTCCACTTAGTATTCTTGTGATCACTGGAAAACTGTGTGACGTACCTGAGGTTTAATTACTTCGTGGAGATGTTACTGAATTGTAAAAACATAACATGATATAATTATTCTTTTTGGTACTATTATAGCCAGCAAAATTCCCCTTGTAGACCATAAACTAAGGATTCTGTGCTCTGAAATGCACTGCAATATTTGTGTTCAGGTCGTGTGGTAGAATGAGAAGGTCATGCCAAGATGGCCGCTGGCAAGCCAGCATCAGTGACTCAGGAATGGCTTCAAAACCCACCTGGCAACGGAGCCTGCCTAGCAACAGGCTGTGATTGGTTAGGGTATAAACCGCCCCTTTACTGGATTGGCTACCTCAGCTATATAGGCAGTTATACCAACTGAAATAAACGAGTCTGTGGGCTGCTCGCCTCTGGCCCACATTCACCCGCCTCCCGGGGGTCTGTGTGGTGACTCCACGCCTCTTGCTCCCACCGTGCCCCTCCTCTCACACTTGCCAGGGGCTGCACGCAGCTAAAGACTATATGTTACTAGCACAGTAAGGTAGATTGTTCCTGTTAGAGACGATACTCCTGCAACTATGTGCTTGGTCTCAAGAACTCCCCAATTGCCTAACTAAATTTTGCTTAGATAACACTGAAAAATAGCACATTTATTTCCAACCTTCCTTTTCCTATTTGATGTAGTTTGTGTTTCTTAAATGTATGCCAGAGTCATCTTGAGTAATTGATTGGTCTCAAATGAGCAGACCCCAATCAGAATTTTCTGAGGTCGGGGAAAGATTTCTGAATTTTCCAGGTTATTATCATTAATATTAAAGTTTCAACTCTGTTGATGATCAGGATACCACTGTCTGCAACTTCCGTATAGGTTCTGGTTCGAGTCCCAGCTGCTCCACTTCCTAACCAGCTCTTTGCTAATGTGCCTGGGAAAGCAGTGGAGGATGGCCCAATTGCTTGGGAACCTGTACCCATGTGGGAGACCCAGATGAAGCTCCTGGCTCCTGGCTCCGGCCTGGCCCAGCCCTGCATGGTTGTGGATGGAAAATCGATCTCTCTCTCTCTCTCTTTTTCTCTCTCTCCCTCTTTCTGTAAAACTCTAACTTCCAAATAAATAAATAAATCTTAAAAAAAAGAAGAAAGAAAGAAAGGGTCTGGCACCATGGTGCAGTGTGCTAGGCCTCTGCATTCAGCACCAGCATCCAATATGGGAACAGGTTTGTGTTCTGGCTGCTCCTCTTCCGATCCAACTCTCTGCCATGGCCTGGGAAAGCAGTAGAAGATGGCCCAAGTGCTTGGGCCTCTGCATCCATGTGCGGAGACCCAGAGGAAACTCCTGGCTCCTGGCTTCAGATAGGCCCAGCTTTGGCAATTGCAGCCATTTGGGGACTGAACCAGCAGATGGAAGCCCTCTCTGTCTCTCCTCTTGTCTGTAACTCTCTCTCTCAAATAAATAAATAAATAAATAAATAAATCTTGAAAAAAAATAACCTGTTCTCAAATATCATGATTGTCAGCATGTTTTAATTGTTTTACTCTTCTTGGCATGCATATTTGAATATGAAAATGTTTTATATTTTCATTTAGTAATTTCAATTTTTTTTGTTGTTGTTGTTGCGGAGAGACTCACTCATCACAGATTGACAAGCAGTTATACTTTAGTTGCTGGTGACAAAACAAGGGGAAATTGTGCTTTCAATGATCTCTAGTACAGTGGGTACAGGAGCCTGGAAATGAGAGAGCCAACTAAGATGGATGAAGGTATCTTAAGAAAAGCTTCATGAAAGAGATGAGGTGAGTTGCAATTTTGGAAAATGCTGATGTCATTGAAGCAACACAGGTACAGTAGGACTTATTTCCAGAAAACTCTTGAGATGGTTAAACTTTCATGTCTTAATGTTAATGGATGATAGATTAAGGGTAGAGACTCAGTGTAACTGAGGCAGCAAGAAGGTGGGGCCTGTGGGAGGTCTTTAGGTCATGGGGGCTCTGACATCAGAGGTTGATTCTTGCAAGTATCTTGGTTATTTTGAGTTCAAGTTCAGCCTAGGTTCTCTCTGTCTCAGTTCTTTCATTCACTGTGTGATTGTTCCTTCATGCTACCCTTTTAATTCAGGCCTCCGTTTTTCCTTTTCTATGATATACTTTCCTATAACATTTACTTAGGGAATAAAAGAAGCAATAATCCGTCATGTACTGAAGACCTTGCATTGCCCTCAAATTAGTCGAAATCCTTTCCCTCTCTCTTCCTAATATAATTGGGCGAGTTCTATAGATGTTATAACCATTATTAAAAGGTCTGTGGTCTTTCATTGCTTAATTTAGCTAGGGAAATGGAGACCATGCTTATTCCATTTTAAAATACTTTGAGAGAGGAAGAGAGAGAGAGAGAGAGAAGGGAGGGAGGGAGGGAGGGAGGAAGGAAGGAAAGAAGGAAAGAAGGAAGGAAGGAAGGAAGGAAGGAAGGAAGGAAAGAAACTCAATGAAGATGTTGTGCTTACATTTACTATTATATCTTAGCTTTGCAAATCTGGATTGAACACTGTACTGTAATAATATTACAATTTTGTTCCTGTTACTTAACTACCTTCATGATAAAGAGCTATGCAAGAGTAGTAATCATGTTAATTATGTTTGTTTTGGGTACCTGCATGGATTTGGCATTGCTCTAATTGCTTTATTAATTTATTTAATAATCTCAACAACCCTAAGAGGTAGGTACTATTATTATCATTCCCATATTCTACATGAAGATCATGAGGTAAAAAACCTGACTTGCTAGATCTCCAGGTTAGAATTGGAACACACTCAGGCACCCAAATCTAAAGCTTGTGCTTTTAAATCCTAGGTGGCAACCACTGTGTATGGTTATGGACTGCCATTTAGAAGACAGACATATTGATTTTTTAGGAAGATCAAAGTTATTGGGGCAGGCACTGTGGTGTAGAAGGCTAAACCTCCGACTGCAGTGCCAGCATCTCATATGGGTGCCAGTTCATGTCCTGGTTACTCCACTTCCAATTCAGCTCCTTGCTAACGTACATGGAAAAGCATCAGAGGATGGCCCAAGTCCTTGGGCCCCTGCACCCATGTGGGAGACCCAGATGAAGCTCCTGGCTCCTGGCTTTGGCCTGGCCCAGTCCTGGCTCTTACGGCCATTTGAGGAGTAAACCAGCAGATGGAAGAGATTTCCCGCTCTCTATCTTTGTATCTCTGCCTTTGAAATAAACAAATAAATATTCAAATATATCAAATTTATCCTAAAGTGAATACTACCCATAATTAACTTCTTTTTTTCAAAGATTTATTTATTTATTTGAGAGTCAGAGTTACACAGAGAATTTTTTTCAAAGATTTATTTATTTATTTGAGAGTCAGAGATACACAGAGAGAGAAGGCGAAGCATATATATATATAGAGAGAGAGAGAGAGAGAGAGAGAGAGTTGTCTTCCATCCACTGGTTCACTCTCCAGTTGGCTGCAACGGCTGGAGCTGTGCTGGTCTGAAGCCAGGAGCCAGGAGCTTCTTACACCACAGCACAGGCTCCCCATAATTAACTTCTTACTGACAGCTACCATGTATCCCAACTAGACCAAATAAGAACTTCATACCTAAAATTCAAGGCGAAAGCAAGGAGTTCAATACTTCAGTGCTAAATTCTGATATAGATAGACAGATGGATGGGTGGATAGATAGATTCTGTGATTGTACAGAGCAGGGTGTTTCAAAATCTGTAACAAAAGCCAATAGGGAAATAAGGAAAGTGGTACAAAACAAGCAGCTTTTAGAAATACTTTGAAATACTGAAAGGATATAAACAGATAAGA